TATATATATATATATGGCACAACTCTCGTAAACACGAGAGTGAAGTATACAACTTTAGAACACTTTCCCACCAGGAGACTCGGTGGGAAAGTGTTCTAAAGTTGTATACTTCACTCTCGTGTTTAGGAGAGTTGTGCCTTAAGCATAGACACTGTGTCTTCCCATATTAACAGGGACTTGATGAAATAAACGTATAAATGACCCCTCACTTGCTCTAGTGCTCTTGGGAGGTGTTGATCTTTGGGGTATTTAAATACTCCGAAATTACCATCTCTTTTAAGGGTCTGAGCAGGTGGTGGAGCGGGTTAAGGCGTACCTGTTATGCCAGTTGCTGGAAGGCATCTGTGCTGGCTAGGGTTCGAGTCTCCTGGTGGGAAAGTGTTCTAAAGTTGTATACTTCACTCTCGTGTTTAGGAGAGTTGTGCCTTAAGCATAGACACTGTGTCTTCCCATATTAACAGGGACTTGATGAAATAAACGTATAAATGACCCCTCACTTGCTCTAGTGCTCTTGGGAGGTGTTGATCTTTGGGGTATTTAAATACTCCGAAATTACCATCTCTTTTAAGGGTCTGAGCAGGTGGTGGAGCGGGTTAAGGCGTACCTGTTATGCCAGTTGCTGGAAGGCTTCTGTGCTGGCTAGGGTTCGAGTCTCCTGGTGGGAAAGTGTTCTAAAGTTGTATACTTCACTCTCGTGTTCAGGAGAGTTGTGCCTTAAGCATAGAAACTGTGTCTTCCCATATTAACAGGGACTTGATGAAATAAACGTATAAATGACCCCTCACTTGCTCTAGTGCTCTTGGGAGGTGTTGATCTTTGGGGTATTTAAATACTCCGAAATTACCATCTCTTTTAAGGGTCTGAGCAGGTGGTGGAGCGGGTTAAGGCGTACCTGTATATATATATATATATATATATATATATATATATATATATGAATGAAAACTCACACCCCAGAAGTGACTCGAACCCATACTCCCAGAAGCAACGCAACTGGTAACTACAGGGCGCCTTAATCCGCTTGACCATCACGGCCGTCAAAAGGAAGTGATAGCCGAGGCTATTTGAGCCACTTCCCCGACGGCAACTCGGATGGAAATCTTGGGCATAGCATTTCACCAAATCACCTCATTCTTTGGGGCACACGTGAGGAACACAAATGCGAACAAGCCTGAATGGTCCCCAGGACTATATGCGAATGAAAACTCACACCCCAGAAGTGACTCGAACCCATACTCCCAGAAGCAACGCAACTGGTAACTACAGGGCGCCTTAATCCGCTTGACCATCACGGCCGTCAAAAGGAAGTGATAGCCGAGGCTATTTGAGCCACTTCCCCGCGTGCAACTCGGATGGTAATCTTGGGCATAGCATTTCACCAAATCACCTCATTCTTTGGGGCACACGTGAGGAACACAAATGCGAACAAGCCTGAATGGTCCCCAGGACTATATGCGAATGAAAACTCACACCCCAGAAGTGACTCGAACCCATACTCCCAGAAGCAACGCAACTGGTAACTACAGGGCGCCTTAATCCGCTTGACCATCACGGCCGTCAAAAGGAAGTGATAGCCGAGGCTATTTGAGCCACTTCCCCGACGGCAACTCGGATGGTAATCTTGGGCATAGCATTTCACCAAATCACCTCATTCTTTGGGGCACACGTGAGGAACACAAATGCGAACAAGCCTGAATGGTCCCCAGGACTATATGCGAATGAAAACTCACACCCCAGAAGTGACTCGAACCCATACTCCCAGAAGCAACGCAACTGGTAACTACAGGGCGCCTTAATCCGCTTGACCATCACGGCCGTCAAAAGGAAGTGATAGCCGAGGCTATTTGAGCCAATTGTTCAGGCTTGTTCGCATTTGTGTTCCTCACGTGTGCCCCAAAGAATGAGGTGATTTGGTGAAATGCTATGCCCAAGATTACCATCCGAGTTGCCGTCGGGGAAGTGGCTCAAATAGCCTCGGCTATCACTTCCTTTTGACGGCCGTGATGGTCAAGCGGATTAAGGCGCCCTGTAGTTACCAGTTGCGTTGCTTCTGGGAGTATGGGTTCGAGTCACTTCTGGGGTGTGAGTTTTCATTCGCATATAGTCCTGGGGACCATTCAGGCTTGTTCGCATTTGTGTTCCTCACGTGTGCCCCAAAGAATGAGGTGATTTGGTGAAATGCTATGCCCAAGATTACCATCCGAGTTGCCGTCGGGGAAGTGGCTCAAATAGCCTCGGCTATCACTTCCTTTTGACGGCCGTGATGGTCAAGCGGATTAAGGTGCCCTGTAGTTACCAGTTGCGTTGCTTCTGGGAGTATGGGTTCGAGTCACTTCTGGGGTGTGAGTTTTCATTCGCATATAGTCCTGGGGACCATTCAGGCTTGTTCGCATTTGTGTTCCTCACGTGTGCCCCAAAGAATGAGGTGATTTGGTGAAATGCTATGCCCAAGATTACCATCCGAGTTGCCGTCGGGGAAGTGGCTCAAATAGCCTCGGCTATCACTTCCTTTTGACGGCCGTGATGGTCAAGTGGATTAAGGCGCCCTGTAGTTACCAGTTGCGTTGCTTCTGGGAGTATGGGTTCGAGTCACTTCTGGGGTGTGAGTTTTCATTCGCATATAGTCCTGGGGACCATTCAGGCTTGTTCGCATATATATATATATATATATATATATATATATATATATATATATATATATATATATATATATTAGTATATTTTGGTAGCAGTCTTTCCTGTAGACATGTATTATTAAATATGACAGAAAAAGTAAGATTAATAATTCTAACACGAATTTTCTCAATCTTTCGTACATTTCTTTTCACTGTTGGAGGTAATTCAAAAATCAATTCTCCAAAATTCATTTTTATTTCTAGTCTGACGCGACACTTGAGCGCGTTTCGTAAAACTTATTACATTTTCAAAGACTTTAGTTAACATATACACAACTGAATAGAACTTACTGAATAGAATAGAACATCTCCGATTTTGTTTATATCTACATTTGAGTGAGGTGGATGGGGTGAGGTGGTATTTAATAAGGTATTAATTTCATCAACACAAGCCAGAACATGAAACAATGGGTATTGAATAGAAGTGATTGTAGAAAGCCTAATGGTCCATATTTCTTGATGCTTCTATATTGGAGCGGAGTCTTGAGGTGGGTAGAATATAGTTGTGCATTAATTGGCTGTTGATTGCTGGTGTTGACTTCTTGATGTGTAATGCCTCGCAAACGTCAAGCCGCCTGCTATCGTTGTATCTATCGATGATTTCTGTGTTGTTTACTAGGATTTCTCTGGCGATGGTTTGGTTGTGGGAAGAGATTATATGTTCCTTAATGGAGCCCTGTTGCTTATGCATCGTTAAACGCCAAGAAAGAGATGTTGTTGTCTTGCCTATATACTGTTTTTTTTTGGAGCTTACAGTCCCCAAGAGGGCATTTGAAGGCATAGACGACGTTAGTCTCTTTTAAAGCGTTCTGTTTTGTGTCTGGAGAGTTTCTCATGAGTAGGCTGGCCGTTTTTCTGGTTTTATAGTAAATCGTCAGTTGTATCCTCTGATTTTTGTCTGTAGGGATAACGTTTCTATTAACAATATCTTTCAGGACCCTTTCCTCCGTTTTATGAGCTGTGGAAAAGAAGTTTCTGTAAAATAGTCTAATAGGGGGTATAGGTGTTGTGTTGGTTGTCTCTTCAGAGGTTGCATGGCGTTTCACTTTCCTTCTTATGATGTCTTCGACGAAACCATTGGAGAAGCCGTTGTTGACTAGGACCTGCCTTACCCTACAGAGTTCTTCGTCGACTTGCTTCCATTCTGAGCTGTGGCTGAGAGCACGGTCGACATAAGCGTTAACAACACTCCTCTTGTACCTGTCTGGGCAGTCGCTGTTGGCATTTAGGCACATTCCTATGTTCGTTTCCTTAGTGTAGACTGCAGTGTGGAAACCTCCGCTCTTTTCCATCACTGTTACATCTAGAAAGGGCAGCTTCCCATCCTTTTCCATCTCGTAAGTGAAACGCAGCACGGAACTCTGCTCAAATGCCTCCTTCAACTCCTGCAGATGTCTGACATCAGGTACCTGTGTAAAAATGTCGTCAACATACCTGCAGTATATGGCCGGTTTCAAGATCATGTCGACTAAGACTTTTTGCTCGATGGTACCCATGTAGAAGTTTGCAAACAGGACACCTAGGGGAGAACCCATGGCGACCCCATCTACTTGCTTATACATGTGCCCATCCGGGCTCAAGAAAGGTGCCTCTTTAGTACAAGCTTGGAGTAGTTTCCTTAGAATATTTTCTGGTATGTCAAGAGGAGTACAGGCCGGATCACGATACACTCTGTCGGCTATCATCCCTATTGTCTCGTCCGCAGGTACGTTGGTAAACAGTGATTCTACGTCCAACGAGGCTCTTATCCCTGTGGCCCGTGTGCCCCGCAGTAAGTCAACAAATTCCTTTTGAGTTTGTTGGAATTTGTTCCAAAGGAACTCCAAAGGAATTTGTTGACTTACTGCGGGGCACACGGGCCACAGAGATAAGAGCCTCGTTGGACGTAGAATCACTGTTTACCAACATACCTGTGGACGAGACAATCGGGATGATAGCCGACAGAGTGTATCGTGATCCGGCCTGTACTCCTCTTGACATATCAGAAAATATTCTAAGGAAACTACTCCAAGCTTGTACTAAAGAGGCACCCTTCTTGAGCCCGGATGGGCACATGTATAAGCAAGTAGATGGGGTCGCCATGGGTTCTTATTAGGCAAATCGGGCCTGGCATAGTAGGCCGAGAAGTGCATTCTGGCTTGTATATATATATATATATATATATATATATATATATATATATATATATATATATATATATATATATATATACAAATTTATAGGCTTTGTAGCAGAGGAGTAAACGGCTGGACAGTGTTAGTTGTTTTGAGTGAAGTGTAGAGAAACCTTGAGGTAATACATTCCTAACACGAATCCCGACGACAGGACCTGGAGTCGTGGCTTGTAGGTGCTGGCCCAGGAGGCGCCGTCTACATCAGCATGGGCACCACCTCAAAGGGTGTTACCATGCCCGACCAGTACCGCCGTATTCTAATCGACACCTTCAGGAGGCTTGAGTATCGGGTAATCTGGAAGTATGATTCAGCTCTGGAAGGAGTGTCAGCCAATGTACTAATGAAGGAGTGGATGCCGCAGCAGGATATTCTAGGTTAGTGATGGCACTCAGATTGTTGTCTATAAACACTTAAACATATAATACCACCAGGTACTATAGCAATAAATAAATATATATATATATATATATATATATATATATATATATATATATATATATATATATATATATATATATGTCGTACCTAATAGCCAGAACGCACTTCTCAGCCTACTATGCAAGGCCCAATTTGCCTAATAAACCAAGTTTTCATGAATTAATATATTTTCTTAAATATTTTTCTTATGAAATGATAAAGCTACCCATTTCATTATGTATGAGGTCAATTTTTTTTTATTGGAGTTAAAATTAACGTAGATATATGACCGAACCTAACCAACCCTACCTAACCTAACCTAACCTATCTTTATAGGTTAGGTTAGGTTAGGTAGCCGAAAAAGTTAGGTTAGGTTACGTTAGGTAGGTTAGGTAGTCGAAAAGCTATTAATTCATGAAAACTTGGCTTATTAGGCAAATGGGGCCTTGCATAGTAGGCTGAGAAGTGCGTTCTGGCTATTAGGTACGACATATATATAATATATATGTATATAATTATTGTTGCATTTATCCATTATCTATCATCTGGCACTCAAACAATGCAGTAGTTTTACGCAAAAGATTATTACATCTCCAATAAACTAATCCCCAACCATCAGTCAAAAACTTCATCTCAGACCATCGATAAATGTTGGTCTTCACGACTCAACCGTCCGACTTGTTCTGGTAGGCAAGGCTCGCTGGACTGAAAACACATCTTTTTGTTTGCTATTATTTTGCACATATTTCCAATTCATTAGGATAATAAAGAATTAATTTCTAAGGAAGGTCAAAATTTACTTCTGGAATTTTTTGAGGAAAATGTGCATCAAGGTGATGAAGTTATTATGCATGTGAGTTGAGTAATGTGTTTTTCGCAAATACTAAATAAACATATATATCTACAATGCATAACATCCCATTTGGACTCGATGACAGAGCGATGGTCTCGATACTGGTCGGCTGTCATTCCCCAGCCATTCAAGTGGTTGGGCATCATTCCTTTCCCCTTACCCATGCCAAATTCTTATCTTGACCCCTTCCCAATGCTATATAATCGTAATGGCTTGGCGATTAATGGCTTGGTGCTTTCCCCCTGATAATTCCCTCCCTCCCTCCCCATTTTCTTAACCCAATTAAAATATAGGTTATTCTATTAAACCAAGCAACTCTTAACAACATAACTAATTTTCTTGGATTACTAATTATCGCCTCCAACAAGGACTAGGATGCAACAGGTGCTGAGGAGTGCGTTTTCTTCCCTCCATTCCACACCAACCAGTACTAACTCGACACCCAGCTGTCCTAGTGCCCCACCTGCCTGTACTAAATCCACATCCAACAAACAATTTTAAGTTGCCTGAAATTTACTGAAATGTTTTTGAAAGCCGTGGCAATGTTTGAACTGAGGGGGATACATAAATGGGTGCAACTGTACATAAGTTGCCACAGCTTTCTGAGTCAACGTTGTCCATACAAAGTTTGAGGCCTGGTGACACTTTATAAAATTGCCTCCAAGTCATGTAAGCTTTGGGGGCAACTTTATGATGCAAGTAAATAAAAAGTATATATATAAATATTTAAAACAATAAATAAAACAATAATTGGTGGAACCTTCTGAGCCACTAAAGAGTCGTTGGTGTTTCTGTCGATGTCAGCGGATCCGAGAGTGAAGCTGTTCATCACTCATGGAGGTCTGCTGGGCACTCAGGAGGCTATATGCCACAGCACGCCCCTCCTCGCCCTCCCAATCTTCGCTGACCAGCCCAGGAACGCCAAAATGATCGTCGACAACGGGTTTGGTCTTGCCTTGGAGTGGGAGGAGCTGACTGTCGACCTCCTCGTCACTACCATTAAAGAGGTTATCACCAATCCCAAGTGAGTGCTCAACTACACTTAGTAACCACTGTGTTTCATTTTAAATAACAGAATTCATTTCATCCCGAATCCTGCTCTAAATGATGCTACTAAAAATACTGAAGTGGAATAATAATTCTGCCACACCGAAAATCCACATGCAAATAAATACATTCAAGCACAAACACACACACTCGGGGATCTGGCAACTGAGTGGACACCGCGCAAGATACGTAATTCTGTGGCCCGGGTTCGATTCCCAGACTAGGCAGAAACAAATGGGCAAAGTTTCTTTCACCCTGAATGCCCCTGTTACCTAGCAGTAAATACCTGTGTACCTGGGAGTTAAACAGCTGTTACGGAGCTGCATCCTAGGAGCGTGTGTGTGTGAAAAAAAAGTTAGTAACAGTTGATTGACAGTTGAGAGGCGGGCCGAATGAGCAATGCTTAACCCCGCAAGCACAACTAGGTGAATACAACAAGGTGAATACACACAAACGTAAACAAACACACACACAAACGCAGACACATAAACACACTCACACATACACTACATTATTGTACTTAATTTAAAATATATGAATTAAACTTGATAAGAACATCATTTGTATGTTTGCTAAAATGTGTATGATTTCGTTGACTGCAATACACGTATTTTAAACGTCAAGAAAGTGAATTTATATAAAAAGTTACATTGTCACCGTTTTGTGACCAATTACAAATGTTAGGAAAACGTTTTGTGTTTGCTGGGAATGAAAGTCAATCATACACAACCAACCCACAATGGTAGTTCATATTACTCAACCAACCCACAATGGTAGAACATATTACACACCCAACCAACAATGGTGGTTTATATTACACAACCAACCCACAATGGTAGTACATATTACACAACCAACCCACAATGGTAGTACATATTACACAACCAACCCACAATGGTAGTACATATTACACAACTAAACATTGTTACTGCATCAGTCCATCTTGTTATTGTCTTAGTCCATCTTGTTACTGTCACAGTCCATCTTGTTACTGTCTCAGTCCATCTTGTTACTGTCTCAGTCCATCTTGTTACTGTCTCAGTCCATCTTGTTACTGTCTCAGTCCATCTTGTGACTGTCACAGTCCATCTTGTTACTGTCACAGTCCATCTTGTCACTGTCTCAGTCCATCTTGTTACTGCATCAGTCCATCTTGTTACTGCATCAGTCCATCTTGTTACTGTCTCAGTCCATCTTGTTACTGTCTCAGTCCATCTTGTTACTGTCACAGTCCATCTTGTTACTGCCACAGTCCATCTTGTTACTGCCACAGTCCATCTTGTTACTGTATCAGTCCATCTTGTTACTGCATCAGTCCATCTTGTTACTGTCACAGTCCATCTTGTTACTGTCTCAGTCCATCTTGTTACTGTCTCAGTCCATCTTGTTACTGTCTCAGTCCATCTTGTTACTGTCACAGTCCATCTTGTTACTGTCTCAGTCCATCTTGTTACTGCATCAGTCCATCTTGTTACTGTCTCAGTCCATCTTGTTACTGTCTCAGTCCATCTTGTTACTGTCTCAGTCCATCTTGTTACTCTCTCAGTCCATCTTGTTACTGTCTCAGTCCATCTTGTTTCTGTCTCAGTCCATCTTGTTACTGTCTCAGTCCATCTTGTTACTGTCTCAGTCCATCTTGTTACTGTCTCAGTCCACCTTGTTACTGTCTCAGTCCATCTTGTTTCTGTCTCAGTCCATCTTGTTACTGCATCAGTCCATCTTGTTACTGTCTCAGTCCATCTTGTTACTGTCTCAGTCCATCTTGTTACTGTCTCAGTCCATCTTGTTACTGTCTCAGTCCATCTTGTTACTGTCTCAGTCCATCTTGTTACTGTCTCAGTCCATCTTGTTACTGTCACAGTCCATCTTGTTACTGTCACAGTCCATCTTGTTACTGTCTCAGTCCATCTTGTTACTGTCTCAGTCCATCTTGTTTCTGTCTCAGTCCATCTTGTTACTGCATCAGTCCATCTTGTTACTGTCTCAGTCCATCTTGATACTGTCTCTGTCCATCTTGTTACTGTCTCAGTCCATCTTGTTACTGTCTCAGTCCATCTTGTTACTGTCTCAGTCCATCTTGTTACTGTCTCAGTCCATCTTGTTACTGCATCAGTCCATCTTGTTACTGTCACAGTCCATCTTGTTACTGTCACAGTCCATCTTGTTACTGTCTCAGTCCATCTTGTTACTGTCTCAGTCCATCTTGTTACTGTCACAGTCCATCTTGTTACTGTCTCAGTCCATCTTGTTACTGTCTCAGTCCATCTTGTTACTGCATCAGTCCATCTTGTTACTGTCTCAGTCCATCTTGTTACTGTCTCAGTCCATCTTGTTACTGTCTCAGTCCATCTTGTTACTGTCTCAGTCCATCTTGTTACTGTCTCAGTCCATCTTGTTACTGTCTCAGTCCATCTTGTTACTGTCTCAGTTCATCTTGTTTCTGTCTCAGTCAATCTTGTTACTATGTCAGTTCAACATGTTACTAGCAGCTAATAACTAAACAAGTACCATTTGTTCTGATTTCTCTTCCCCATCTTGTAGTTGCTGTTCACCTTCAATGATTTTGCTAGTATCTCCTACTATCACTGCTAGAAGCTTACATTTCACTGCTGGTAGTGTCGTATTCAACAGCTAGTAGCTCCTCTTGTTGCAGGTAATAGATAACTATTTCACTACTGGAAGCCTATCATGAACCTACTAGTAACAAATATGTTCACTACTAGAAACACTATTATATCACAAATAGTAGACCTCCTGGTCACTGCTAGTAGTCCATCTGGTCACTGCTAGTAACCCACCTGACCACTGCTAATAGCCCAAATGTTTACTGCTAGTAGGCCTCCTAGTCACTGCTAGTAGCCCACCTGGTCACTGCTAGTAACCCACCTAGTCACTGCAAGTAGCCCATCTGTTTACTGTGTGATGGAAAAAAGAAGTGTAGGTGTTCGGCAGTCCTCCCAATGGCTGGTGTCAATGCCTATCAAATTTAAAAAAAAAAGATGACTGCGTAGCTATTGTGTCCTGTGGCAAAATAAAGCAAAACAAGCAAAATAAATAGTATGAAGAATGAAACTTTAATTAAATTGAAAACAAATTATGAATAAGACAATTCCTGGCTATGTACAGTGCAAACTAACAAGATTAAAAAGTAAAAAAATTACATAAAATAAAATAGTGGTGACGTTACTCTAAAATGGATAGAGACAAAAATGAAATTAACAGGTGCTGAGAATAAAGCGCTGGCTGAGAACATCCACTAATAAACAGCGTATATCAGATGGTTATTTTATCTTGAGAGCACAGGATATTTTAACTCCAACGGCTAGTGCAGGCCCAGACATCGGCTAGGTAGATGGCACTGAGGTGCAGAGGTGCAATGGTGCAGACGTCGATTCACCAGTCAGAAGCGGGCTGGCTGGAAATGGTAGTTTGGTGATCGGCGACGATGGATGGGGAAGGTGGAGAGCGAGTGTGATATACGTATGCGCCTGGCAAAATGTATTTGACTAAATATGTTCTACACTTGCTTGTAGTATCTAGATGTTGTAGATGTACTAAAGTAACATGACGATAGGAAAGAGCAGGCCAAATCTCTCTTGAAGGAGATTATCGTAACAGCTCTCTGCCGAAGCCTGCTCTTACGGGTCAAGTTACTTCAGTGGCTGTTGTAGAGGTAGGAGTAGCTGTCTCTACCTCGTAGACTTTGGAGAGGGCGTCGGCTATGATGTTGTGAGAACCTTTGATGTAAAAGATCTCCAGATTAAAATTCTGCAAGTACAGAGCCCAGCGTAGAAGACGTTGATTGCTGAATTGGGCCTGTTGTAGGAACCGCAGGGGATTGTGGTCCAAGTAGATGGTAATAGACCGATTCCCCTGTAGGTAAGGTTCGAAATGTTGCAGATTCAGGACGATGGAGAGGAGTTCCTTTTCGATAGTGCTGTAGTGCTTCTGGTGAGGCTTCAATTTGTAACTGTAGTAGCTGACAGGAAGAACCTCCTCGCCTCGTTGTTGCATCAGGACGCCCCCGATGCCGGTACCACTGGCGTCGACATTGATGATGAAGGGCTTCGTGATATCTGGTGAGGCGAGAATGGGATCAGAACATAGCAGAGATTTAAGTTGTTTAAAGGCAACGGTCTGTTGAATGGTCCAATGTTACCGTTGCTTGGGGCTGGTCAGATTAATCAATGGTGTCGCTACCGTACTAAAATTCTTCACAAACCTACGATAGTAAGATGCAAGTCCAAGGAAGCGCAGGAGCTGCTTCTTGGTCGTAGGTTGTGGGTAATGCTAAATGGCTTGAGTGTGAATTGTTAAAGGAGCTATTCTACCACTCCCTCTCACATGACCCAGATAACGTACTTTACCTTTGGCAAATGTGGACTTGCCCAAGTTGATGGTAAGGAAGGCTGTCAGGAGCTTGGAGAACAGTCGTTGCAGCTGGAGCAGATGTTCGCTCCAGATGTTGGTTGCCACAACGGTGTCGTCCAAGTAGGCGTAGGTGTGATCTAGGCCGTAGATGACGCGGTTGACAGCTCTCTGGAAGGTGACCGGGGCGTTACACAGTCTAAAAGGAAGGCGTTCATATCTGTATTGGCCAAAAGGAGTGGTGAAGGCAGATATTTCTTTAGCTCTCTTTGTCAGGCTTATTTGGTAATAGCCTTTTAACAAATCAATTTGGGATAAATATTTGGCATTACCTAAGGCGTCAAGGAAATCATCTATACGTGATAAAGGATAAGCATCCTTGACGGTCACAAGATTCAGTTTCCTATGATCGGTACAAAGGCGAACATTACCGTGCGGTTTCGGCACCAAGATGCAGGGTGAGGCCCAAAGGGACTCACAAGGGGTGGCCAGCCCATGATCCAGGAGGTATTGTAGTTCAGCACGCATAACTTCCTTTTTTGTACGGGGTGATACGGTAGAAGGGTTGACGAATCGGCCGGGTAGCAGGAAGCAGCTGGATGTCGTGCT